TTTAATACTCCTAGTAGCATAAGTGTGATGCTGTGGGTTAATGCACTAGACTGCAAAAAGTCAGTCTGAACCACAAGCAAGCTTACCAGCTGCTCCTCAGGAACCCTGTGGGTACAAACTGACTCAACTGCACTTAACAACAACAACAGCATAGGAGCCCTGGTGGTGCTGTAGGATAATCACTGGGCTGCTAACTGTAAGGTGGGGAGTTCACACCCACCATCTATCCCATGGAAGAAAGATAAGGCTTTCTGCTCATGTGAAGATTTAAAGTCTCAGAAATCCTATGGTTGCTCAGAGTTGGCATTGACTCAATGGCAGTGGGTGGGATTTTTAAACAGCAAAGAATTACATATTTTAAATACAATGTGACTTTTATATTACAGCTGTTTCACAGCTGTGGTAAACATTACGTTATCAACTTGCAAGATTCCACAGTTCATACAGCGTAGTGGTTATGAATCGGGCTGCGAACTTCAAGGGCAGCAGTTCGAAACTACCAGCTGTTCCATGGGAGAAAGATGAGGCTTTCTGCTCCCGTAAAGATTTACACCCTCGGAAACCTGTACAGGGTTGCTATGAGTGAGAACCGACTCCACGACACATAACAGCAACAACAATTATTTAATTTCAATCACCACCTCAACTTTTATTACTGTTTGGCTTTTTATGTAACATTGTATAAAATAATTATAGGAAATTAACATTGCTAGACATAGGCTAGAGTCTTGGTGTGGCACTGTAGGATAAGCACTAGACTGCTAACTTCAAGGTCGATGGTTCAAGCCACTGACCACTCCTCAGAAACCTTATATTGTTATTAAGTATTGTCAAGTCAGTTCCAACTCATACAGGGCCTCTATAATCAGAACGAACTCAACCACACTAAACAAGACAAAGGCTACATCCATATGCACTTTAATGTGTGCATATAATTTCAAGCTTTTTTCAAAAAAAAAGGAGTGTATTTTTTAAATAAAATGTAAGCTACAAGGGGAGATATACAAGAACACCCAAACTTGCAGATAGTACCTATTGACCTAGCTTCAATGGCTGGATGATCAGAATTAGACTAGAGGAAAATTAAAAATTTTTGATAAAGGAAACAAGTATAAATTGCTATAATTTGATGAATTTAACCTACACTTATGGATAGAGCAGCTCAAAATACCAACCAAGAAAGAAAGAATTTTCACATCAATGACCATTCCCATCTCCTCTGTACACAGGGTTGATAGGGACAGGCACCTTACACATTGGCAACCTAAAATTGGGGGTGGGGGTGGGGGAGAGCCACTATAAAGGCACAAGTGACTGGCTTACAAGTTTTCAAGAGGAAGTTTAGTTTCAGGTGTGCCTGCGAAGGTAGAATCCCAACTGAATAGTTTTCATCTTGCCTAGATGGGTCTGGTGAAAGGAGATGGGGATAAGATTCTTATGATTCAATAGTGAGGGGTTGGAATCATGACTAATTGCAATTGTCACAACTGTAAATGTAGAAGTTTTGTAACATAAAGGGGAGAGTAGTTAATCTTACATTCCAGGAACAGAGGACTCTAGGACCATCAAGGTAGAAGAGTGTCAGAGGAATGTGGAACCCTATCCAGAGAAGCAGCTACACCAGAGATGGAGGCAGAGATGAGGACATGGAGAGATAGAGCAGCTGAGGACTCCAGACTCATGGGAAGAGAAAGACTGTTTGCTGGTGGCCAGGAGGCAGGCTTGCAGAATGTGCCCTTTGGTTGTTTAAATGATTATATATTCCTGAGTGTTTTTGTGTACATCCAATAAATAAATAAATAAATAACCAGAGGGAATAGAAATAAATTCTGTTGAATGATGATGCATGGAGGGGACTGTAATCATTGCAATGAAACAAAATACAATTGGGTGAGTGTAAAACCGATGGTCTCCCATGTAAACTATTACTCAATCCACAATAAAAACTTTGAAACAATACAATAAAAGTTAAAAAAAAAAAAGTAAGTTACAGTTCAGTATTTATTTAAAATTTATATCCTAAAAGTTTTAGGTAGAAACAAAATATATGGAAGCAACACTTTGTTCAAACAAACCCCCACATCTCATAGCTATGTGACTATTTTTGATACAGCAAGAAAACAATTTCTCACAGGGATTTCTGGGATACCAGAAATAAGAGCTTTCTATAATACCAATGATCACAGCCTCTGTTCATCACCATTGTTATTGTCAGGTGCCATTGAGTCAGTAACCACTCATAGCAACCCTATGTACAGCATAAGGAAACAATGCCTGATCCTGGATCAACTTCACTACTGTTGCCATGCTTGAGTCCATCGACACTGCCATTTGGCCAATCCATCTCATTGGGGGTCTTCCTCTTTTTGTCTGACCCTCCACCTTACTAAACATGATATCCTTCTCCAGCAACTGATCCCTCCTGACAACATGTCCAAATTATGAGTGAAAAAGCCTGGCCATTCTGGCCTCCAAGGAGCACTCTGGCTACACTTCTTCCAAAATGGATCTATTGGTTCTTTTGGCAGCCCATGGCACTTTCAATATTCTCCTCCAACACAACTCAAAAGCATCAATTCTTCTACAGTCTTCCTTATGCACTGTCCAGCTTTCACATGCATATGAGGTTATTGAAAATACCATGGCTTGGGTCAAGCGTACCTTTAAAAGGTCTTGTGCAGCAAATTTGCCTAATACAGTATGTCATTTTATTTCTTGACTGCTGTCTATGAGTGCTGATAGTTGATCCAAGAAGAATGAAGTCCTTGACAACTTCAATCTTTTCTCTGTTATTAAGAATGCTGTTTATTGGTCCAGTGGTGAGGATTTTTATTTTCTTTATATTGAGAAGCAATCCATGTTTAAGGCTGTGCTCTTTGATCTTCATCAGTAAATGTTTTAAGTCCTCTTCACTTTCAGCAAGCAAGGTTGTATCATCTGCATATTGCAGGTTCTTAATGAGTCTTCCTCCAATCCTGATGCCACGTTTTACTTCATAGAACCCAGCTTCTCAGATTATTTGCTCAGCATACAGGTTGAATAAACAAGGTCAAAAAAAACAACCTTGTCGCACACCTTTCTTAATTTTAAACCATTCAGTGTTCCCATGTTCTGTTCAAACAACTGCCTCTTGGTCCAGTAGAGATTCCTCATGAGCACAATTAAGTGTTCCAGAATACTCATACTTTGCAATGTCGTCCATAGCTTGTCATGATCCACACAATTGAAAGCCTTTGCATAGTCAATAAAGCACAGGTAAATATCTTTCTGATATTCTCTGCTTTCAGCCAAGATCCATCGGACATCAGCAGATATCCCTTGTTCCATAGCCTCTTCTGAATCTGACTTGAACCTCTGGAAGTTCTCTGTCAATGTATGCTTCATCACCATAGTAGTAAGTAAATCTTTAAATGTTCACAGCAAGAACACAGACTAGCTGCTTATTGTTAACCTTGTTTTCTAGCTGTCAATACACTCAGAATACTAGAAAATAATCAAGGGCTTACCTTCTAGTGAACCAGTATTTTAGATTTGACTATACCAATGGTTTACAACGACGACAGTTTTGCTCCTTAGGAAACATTTGACAATGTTTAGAGGAATTTTTGTCACATTTTTGGGAACACATAGTGAATAGACACCAATGCTAAACATCCTATAGCCTCCCATACAAACAATTATTCAGGCCTAATGTATTAACTTTGAGATACTTTGTGTGAGCTACAATAATGGTCTCCTCCTCTCCTATATCTCTTAAAATCTTTAAGAGAATCTCTGAACATTTCAGTGAAACTAGGTTTTTTCTATTTTTTATTTCACGTGATATAAATTTGGTTTGTATTTATAAGAATTTGGTTTAAAACATAATCTCAGGAAAGGCAGAAGTTAGATTTTTAGATCTCGCCAACTTACTCTTTTCCATTTTCAGTACAAATAATACTAGATATGACTGAAAATCAAGGGGCATTAAAGAAGTACTTTCTATGTTAATGTCATTCTATAAGACTAAATTTAAGAAACAACTATTTAATTCTATGCTCTTTTTAAAATTTTGCTGTTGTTGTTAAGTGACATCAAGTCAGTTCCAACCCACAGAGTCACTGTATATGGTCTCCAAATAGCAGCTGGTGAGCTTGAACCACCAACCTTGTGGTTCAAACAGACTTTACAGTCTAGTGCATTAACCCACAGTGCCACACCAAGATTACTGACACACTCTCTTCCTTGTAAGAAGGTAGGCATATGAGAAGGCTTCAAAAAGTTTGTGGAAAAATATAATTGAAAGATAACATAATTTTTCTACAAACATTTCTGAAACTTCCTCATATTTGTTCTTCCTGATCAAGTAAGAAAAAAAAATTAAGTAATAAGAAAATTTCATCCCAGTGGAAATCTATTTTTCAAACTTGTTAGCTCTATGTTGTTGTTGTTGTGAAGTGTCGCCAAGTCGGTTCCGACCATAGCGACCCTGTATAGGGTTTCCCAGGAGCGACTGGTGAGCTTGAACCACTGACGTTACAGTTCAGAGCGACTTTGCAGTCTGGCCCATTAACCCACCCTGAATTCCAATCAGATTGTCCCAAAGAAAGCAAATGTTCTGTTATTTTTTTAACCTGTTAATTTCTTGGAATTTAAAAAAAAAAAAAGGAAAGAAAGGGTGGGGGAATACATTAAAATCTCAATTAATACTAGTTCTTGAAATTCAGTTTTCAACTTTTCAAAATTTTTTTAAAGTTTCAGACTTTTAAAGAAAAGCATTTTGAAAAATAAATACTCTGAAGCAACTATAATAGCAATAGCCTTTATTTAAAATAGGTTTTAATCCAGGAAAGCTCATTTTACATGAGTTTCCAGCTAATCATTAGAGTCAGAAACAAAGAAAATAAAACCAGAGAAAAACCTCCATAGAAAAAATACACAAGAAACATTTCTACATGTGAAAAAACAGTGAACAGTCTTAGCATCTGAACATCCAAGTCTTAGTCTCAATTCCATCTCTCCTAGTGAACACCACTATCAACCTTGAGATCTGATTTGTTCTTGTCATTCTTCACTGAGTAGATGAAATATGTTAAGGTGTCTTTTTCATTCACTGGAATAGATCTAAAGTGGCAACCAACTATCTATAAAGGAAAAAAAACAGTGAGGAAATTAAATTATAGATATTATCAGGTTTCATAAACTAGATAAAACAAAACACTGTTTCATCAAAATAATAAGTGTTTGGTAATAAGAGCTATATCCTTTGAAGAAAGAATTGTATTTAACAAACTACCAACAGGACAGAGTATATATTATAGTAAAATTTTATGATAAGAGATAAGTGTAATTTCAAAGGACTCTTTATCTCATTCAATTAAATATAAATTGATAAGTGGATTTCTTTTTATTGATTTTTAATTTTATAATTTGAATCTAGATTAGAAAGTATTTTTATTCAAAGTTTAAATATCTACGAAATCAAACAACTATTGAGTGCATTTGTATCATAACTATAATGGTTTAGGTCCTATTCACAGAAAAGGATAAATATGAAATTTTTTGAAAATTGGTATAGTATAAGAGAAACAGGCTATGAAATATCTTACAAATATATCTACTGCAACTTATATTCATTCATTCATTGGCACTATTCTTTGTTACGGTTCTTTGAAAAAGAAATTCTGAATAAAAATTATAGATGGAAAATGAAAGGAGCAAGAGAAATGTTCATTATAGAATGTTTATCTTGTCTTTTTATGTGCTAATCTAACATGGGAGCTAAAACTATCAAAAAATGTATGTTAAACTACACCAGAATATCAAAGTTCCTTTCTAGAAACTAAAACTTTTTAAAGAAAAAGTCCATGTACACAAAAATTAAGAGACTTAGAGTGATAGCCAAACCTAGAAATAATTTTAATACCTACATTTTTGACTTAGCAAACTATAATATTCATGCTTATTTGAAGTATTAATATTTCTCATTTTTAAAAAAGAAACAGCTCTATATACTGTTTTTTGAAGTTTGATTATTCTAAGTTTCAAATCACATACATATGGTGTGACGCTATGGGTTAATGCACTGGACTATAAAGTCGTTTGAACCACAAGGTCAGTTGTTCAAGCTCACCAGCTGCTCCTCTGAAACCCTATACAGGGTAGCTATGGGTCAGAACTGATTTGATGGCACTAAACAACAACAACTTACATATACATATATATATATGTTGTTGGTAGGAGCCTTTAGAAAGTTTTGACTCAAAAGGAGCTATCCTATGTGTAGCAGAATGAAACTCTACCTGGTCCTGTGCCATCATCACAATCATTGCTATATTTGAACCCATTGTTGTAACCACTATATTAATCTATTTTGTTAAAATTATTTAACTATTACATTGAAAACAATCAGTTCTTCAGTTTGTGTTTGTTCCAAATCAAAGATGCAATTAGTCAATCTGTAGGAGAAAGATGAGGTTTTCTGTTTCCATAAAGATTTATAGCCTTAGAAAGCCTATATAGGGGTCGCTATGAGTTAGAACCTACTGATGGCACACAACAGCAGTAACACAGTTCGACATAGTATCTACACTTATGTTATATTAACACAGTATCTACGTTTATGTTATATTAACATACGGTAGACTCCAAAAAAAACTAATTCTTCTAAATCAAATCTAAAGAAAAATTACAGCCAGTTCTACTCTACACACATGAGTTGCCATGAGTTAGAATCGACTTGAAGGCAATAAACTAAAACAAAAAATAATAAAGAAAAAATTCTGGCTAAAAATGTAATTATTGGATGCTAAAAATGTTAAAAGGGCTCCTGGTGTGGTGCTGTGGGTTAATACACTGGACTGCAAGATCAGTTTGAACTGCAAGGTTGGCGGTTCAAATTCACCAGCTGCTTCTTGGAAACCCTATACAGAGTCTAGATGAGTCAGAACTGATTAGACAGCACTTAACAACAACAACAATGTTCAAAAGCATTCTGACAAAATAATTATACATCCTACTAAGTATGTTTTACTGAAGAATATGAGAAAACTAATTTATATGGTTTCAATTCTATTCTGCAAAAGATTTTTGTTTTAAATGATTAAAATATAAATATGCAAATCTAGAGACATCTTAATACGATGCATAGAATTCTTGGTTTTATTATTTCCTAGGAAAATACACACATATACACACACTCAGCCAACTTTTTAAAACTCAGTAAAGAACTAGAGCTAATAGATGTTCTATATCAAAGCAAATGATGAGTAAAAGTGTATATAAAAGTCTAATGAATCCTTTCCTATCCTAGATGTGAAGAAAGCATTTGCTATTTTTAAGTGCTGTCAGTTCTGACTCATAGCAATGCTGCATGGGGTTTCCAAGGATCGGCTGGTGGGTCTGAACAGCTGACCCTGTGATTAGCAGTTCAGTGTTTATCCCAAAGTACCACACCAGGACTCCAAAGAAATCATATATATTCAAATAAATAACAGCAACAAGGATCAATTCTGAAATCATTTAATCAGAAAATTATGGTAATAATATTGTTTTGGAGCTCATCTGTTAACCTATTCCACCAGAAATTTCAAAAAATAAATTCTAATAAAGAACTTAAGATCATTACTTTCTTTTATTATGCCTTGATTAAGCGTTCAATAAATACTTATTGAGTAAATGGACTTTTAAAACTAACAAATTTTTCGAATGAGGATAGGAAAACTCTGCTTCAATATTTCTGTGAATATCAGAAGAAAAGAAAATTACACAGAATCCATTGAGCAGTCATTACACTACATGGCAAATAAACAGAACTAAACAACCAAATTCTTCCATATTAGTTACTTAACTAACTTTGATCTCTCTAATTGAAATGTATTGTTATAAACATTAGCTAGTATATAATGACCCACTGTTTTTGTGACTACAGGCTCATTTAAAGCTTACATAGTGTAAAATTCATACATACTTCAACAAGCTGTGCTTTATTAAGTCCTGGTCTGGTTGGTAACTTGAAGTGTCTTTTGTATCTCCTAAGTGTATTTACTTGTAATTGGTACAGATCAACCTAGAAATAATTAGTATATATGAATTAGGTCTTTCAAATTGTTGAAAACATCTTTAGTATATATAATTAAAACAGCATTAGCATACATAATTACAAACATTACACTTTTAGCACAATAGAAATTTAATTCCATTATAACAAAAAATCTCTTATATAATTAAAACTGAATATATTAAACATTTTTCTTTTAGGAATAAATGCATTTAGAAAACTGTTTGTGGGGGAGGGAGTTATGAGACACAAGATATATAAGAATTATCCACTGAAAATTAATAAGTCATATTGTGTAACTTCTTGTTAACTAGGTATATTTAATTTTGCTTTCATTTTCACATTTTTCAAGTGTCTTAAACATTTAAAAAAATGTGTTCATATATTTTTACCAAAGTTTCATAATGGACTTCTTTGTGTTTACATTTAACATAAACAAACTGTCACCTACCTCTGGAGTATCAATATCTTGAACTGGTGAATCACCTCCATCATCATCACTCCCTTTTCTCTTCCTTCTGTTCCGAACACTCTGAATTAAGTTTTTATGATAATCACAAATGTAAAGATGTCTTGCCTGAAACAGAAAAGTTCCACAGACTGCTAATTATTTCAAAAAATGCTGCATCTATATATTAATAAAATACACGGTGGTGGTGTGCCGTGGAGTAGGTTCTGACTCTTAACGACCCTGCATAGGGTTTCCGAGGCCGTAAAACTTTACGGGAGCACAAAGCCTTATCTTTCTCTGGCAGAACAGCTGGTAGTTTTGAACTGCAGACCATGGGGTTAGTAGCCCGACTCATAACAACTATGCTACCAGAGCTCCTTAATAAAATACATAGGCCACAGTAAATTATTACAAATAACCAGTCAAAAGCAGACTGTTTTAAGACGATGGTATGTTTCTTTCAGTCTTTTCTTCATCCTGTTAAAACATACAACTTTGATAAACTTAGAAATATAGGCAGTCAAAACCCATCCTTAATCACTTTTGACAAAAATCAAATCTTTATTTTTTCAATTTTTATTATTGCTTTTTATCACCATTATCTTTATAAATCTAATCTTTGAACATCTGAGAGTGAATATCTGAAAATGATAACATCAGCAAATTACAGGCTGCAACATTGTATGTTGCACATATTGCTATCAATAAGATGTGGCAAAATAAACAGATAAATAACTAGAAACCCTCAAAAAGCAGACCATCTTAAGTGTGGTTATTTATAGTAACTCGAATATGACAAAAGTCAGAGGTCTTCCTGTATTGTTAATAGGCTAGAGGGTGAGGGTTGCTAGTTGCAGAAGGGAAGGAGGCAAAGGAGAATAAGAAATTCCAATACACTAGATTTTTGTCAGCAAATTGCAGCAAGGATGGACTGAATTAATGAGTTCCCTTCTGGATTTTTAACTGGCAAGGGGAAAGATGATTTTGTGCACAATTGTATATTTCATTGTATTGTGCACAGGGTTCGTTTTGAATCAGAGCTAGATAGCACCGAACAACAACATATTTGACAGTACTTTCTCTTGTTAAATATGAGCATATTTTAGTAGTATAATGTATGCTTCCTAATTTTTCTAACTTTATACCTAAATTATATCCCAGTTACAAAAGCGACATCCATTTACAAATTTGCTATTCATTTTATATTCTAAGCGTATTTACATTTCAATTACGAACTTTTCTTCCTGAGTATTAAAAGAACAGTATTTATCTAAAGGACTTATTTCCGTTGAAAGCAGTCTAATTCAATTCACCTGACAAGTTTGTTTTTGTTTTTCATGAGCAAGACTTGTTTCAGCAGGCGGAACGGATCACAAATTAACTTTATAAAAACTTTAATCACGTATTATAGTAACATGAAATACTGGGCTTCGTGCATGTGCAGTTCATTCCTTTAAAAAGAAACATTAGGAATGAAGCTCATAGGCTTTTAGTTTTATATCTAAACTACGTGCGGCTTAAAAATACAACGTATGTGGGCTAGGCTCTGGCATCTTGTTATTCTTTCACCTTTCAAGCCAGAGGTCCGAAAAGTGGCAATGGTTGTCTCTAACGACCTCATAGATGGGCAAAGGAACAGGCGCGCAGAAAGAATGGAAAAAGAAGTTCTGATGGCTGCCAAGCAGCTGGCAAAGCCCTAGAAACTGCGCGCTCCCATGATCCGGACTGCTGCCACAGGAGCAGACCCTCCTGATATCCTCAGCACCCCGGCTCCCTGCAAGGGGCTTGGGCTTCCCTCCCATTCTGCCTACAAGAACAACACGGCACCCAGAAACCAACAGGCTTATATCCTTGTCAGTGGTGCAAGTCCAGCAAGACTCCACTTTCTCCAAACGACACGAAGTCGTCCCTGGAGCCAAACACCAGCTCTGGCAACAAAACAAAGGCGCCTCCATGCCAAAGGAGGCAGTTGGGAAGCAGGAAAACTACTCTTGGCCCTCTGTGCAGCGATCGCCTTTGTCTGCTTTCCCGATGGCAGCGAGGGAGGAAGAGGAAGGAAGAGAGTGCGCGGGAGAGACGCGCGGAGGGGGGCCGGGGAGGCCCACAACGAGTGTGTCGCCGTGTCTGTTGAATTGATTGTCGGAGTTGAGGCGACTTTGTTCTCGGCAGAGATCCCACAATCGGTCTACACTGTTAAAAACTAGGGGTGAGTCGATGCACGCCTGGCCCAACAGCCCTGGCCTCTGCACCGCTCCCGGAGCCCAGGGGCAGGGCAAGGCCGGTTCGCCGTCACTTACACTCTTGTCCAGCTCGATCTTCACCTTCTTCTGGGAGATGCTCTTCTGGATTCTCTTGCTGAAGCTGGCGTTGCCGGCCGCCCGGCTACACCGCTCTCCTTCCTCCCGCAGACAGCACAGTTGTCCGGGGCCGGGCCCGGCCGCTCCCGGAGGTCCGGCCGCTGAGACCGCCCCGGCGCCGGGCACTTCAGCCCCGCCGCCCGCCCCAGACCCGTTCCCAGCCGAGGCCGCGGCGGCGGCGGCGGCGGC